AACTATTTCCTATTTTGCTGGTCCACAATCTTTGGTATTATCAAAATATGTCAAATTATACATTATGTTACTACTTAAACCCAAAAAAATATTGAATTTTTGAAGTGAACTAAAAATGCGCCAATGGCGTCTGTAAAACCGGTATAAAAGTTTAAAAGTCAAACATAATAAATAAAATAAATGTAACTATAAGGAAGAAACTAATCAAGTAGTTTACCTCACGTATGGACAGTCAACGTTCTATTTAAAATTTGAGGTTCGCATTTCATGTACTCTTCATGGATCACTGACTTATCCAAATTCGCATTTAAAACAAGAACTGGTGCAGCGACTGAAAATATAGTTTTATGGTAAAGCCAATCTTCGTGAATCTGGTGTAGGGCCTGAAGGTATTCGAGGGAGACGGATTTTTCTTCTGCCCTGTTCCGGAGCATCATGCGTTCATATACTACGTGAGGCGATGTCCGAAGATACACTAAAAAATATATTTTGTTATTGTAGCGACATTTTCATTATCGGTTTCTTTACATTAATTTTAAACTAATGATCGGTTGCAGGAAAAATTTTTAATTATAGGGAATGTAAAGTTAAAAATATAAGTTTGTCCAATATCACACTACACTACATTGAATATTAATCCAAGTAACTTCAATATTACCAATCAAATCCACACCAACGTTAGCATATTCTTTAACCCATTCAAAGTGTTTATCGAGGACTGCAGCAGAAGCGTGGGAAAGAAGCCCATCTTGTTTCATCTTCTCAACAAAACAATACCTGAAAAGGCAGTAATCAGATAAATTATCTTTTTAATTGCCAACAATTAAATAAAAACTGACTACATTTCTGAAATGTCGTGGATGTATAATACCGCAATTTTCATTCCTTTCACATCAACCAGAACAATATTAAAATACTTCAATAACTTCCGGATAATGTCCGGATCCTCTGCTAGTGATCGTCAAAGTTAAAAAAAAATGTTTTTTTTTATATCAGGAAAAACACGTTGGATTCTAATGGAACTCGCTGTGAATTTGTTCCTATGTAAGACTCATATTTTGATGAAGCAACCGAGCCCGACATGAACAAAGTTTTAGGCCCGGTCGTCTTTTGGAAGCGTTTTTGTCCGAATTGCGTTTATCAGAAATCTTACGAAAAGAAGAAGCGAGTTTTTAGCAAAATATGGTCGTGATGTAGGAACAATTCCACAGAAAATTTCATTAAAATCCCTATGGGGGCTTTCCCGATATTACAAAAAACTTAATTTGAGTTTTGTTAGTGTAAAAGTTGAATGAATGTCTAAAATTATCAGTTGGCAAGAGAACAGAAATATTTTTTTGCTCAAAAACTATGAATGCTTTTAGATTTCACAAAGAGGGCAAACATGACCAAAGAGAATTTGTGCATCAACTCAAAAAATCCTAGTTGATTCCAGTTACCAAACAAAAGATTCTGGTAGTTTTTATAAAATATGAGGGTTACAGAGGAACTCGTACTTACATCGTGCCAATCCCCCGATATTTCAAAAGCGAAAAGTTTTTTGAAGAACTGTGACCATCAAAAGCAGAAAAGCCAGATATTTTATCTTAGTAAAAGTCTGGTAAAGAATATCGCAGTACCTTTTTCATCATGTGCTTACGGGACAGCCTGTATAACGACCAGCTATTTCTTACTTTTGCACTGTACTCATTTAGGTGACTGGCTAGTAATTGTGGCTTTTGTTTAATAATTGGATATGGGGTGGCAACAAAACAGAAGCACTTACGAATGCTTTTACTTAAATTCTAATGAGAGGGTCGAAATTTCCTTTTATAGTATGAAGCCTTAACTTACCGAGCACTGTAAATAGATCTCTCCATAAGTTTAATAGGGCGGTCTGTTAGTTTGGTGTGTTGTTCCAACATGGTCAGTTGAACATAAGACTGAAATGTAAAGCTCCACTTTTTTCTATCTTCGTATAACAAACCCAGCAGGTTATGCCCATTGCAGTTTCTCCATAACTCAATGGGTTCGGCTAGTACACAAATATCATCAAACTTATTGAAATGTTGAAGAAACGTTGTTTTCCCGCTGCCGATATTTCCCTCGACGATGACTGTGAAGGGGCGCTGCGAGTTTTTCGAAATAGACATACTTTTCAGCTTGATCGAATTCTTCAAAGCACACTATACAGATCACTCCCAAACCAGATATTTGCCAAATATACAACTGAATACGAATGTCGCTTCTCCCGCGTTTTAAACTAGAAAGTGAGGTTATCACAAGTAACAACATTTTTTGACTGACAATTAAATGTCGTACCAACCTTTGCATATGAAACCAAACAAAAGGGACGTTCCGCCCTCAATATGGTAACTCGAAAAAACTCAGAAAATTGAGCACATTTTTAACTGGGAATACAAAGTCTTTATGCCCTTACAGTAGTCTCTACCATTTTTACTAATTGAATTTTTCGAGAAAATACAGTTTTCCACCACTTTTCACCCTCTGGAAAATTCGTCAATTTCCAAATTTACCAAAAACAGAGGACGCCATAATGATTCCGCCCCCCGCGACAGTTTATTATCTGTTTCTACTGTATATTTTCCGATTAGACACATTTGGTAAATATTTCTTCACTTTTTATTAATTTTGGTCAGATTACTTGTGCTTTTTTTATCTTGAAAATGTTAAACCGCTATTCCCACCAGAACGGGGTTCTTTGCTGGCAGTTTGGCTAACAGAACAGATTTTTGGTATCACGTATGAAGCATTGTGGAGTGCGTCTGGCTTTAATAAGAATTACTATTACTATTATATAAGAAGCACCCTCAAAATAATGTTCTGGCCCCAAACCGCTCTGCCTCATCGATTATATATTTCATTTTCGAACGTGTTCGCGATGATCGCGACATCTGTAAACAAATTTCAAAATTTCAATTTTGCGCTTGCCCTCTGTGTCCGTATGGTAATATCCATATCCAGATTGTCAGATTTGGATGTTCATCTATTTTAATGTTTTTTGGTGTTTTCAAAAATTAGTTTCCTCTAGTGTTTGTGGTCGCGATTGAATTTCTGAAGTGTATTAAGACTCTGTGTGATTCCCTTTAGGTTTGCCTGTCTTTATTTCTGCGTAAGTATTGCAAGTGAAGTGTATAGGTTAAATTTTAGGTTTAAGGGCTGAAAATCGATCATGTTTTCGCACTTCGTTACGATTGGGTTGCGCCTAGTGCGAAAAGTTGCTATTATATTTGTGCCCTTTTCCTTATAGAAGGTTCTAAAAACATTGTAAAATTCAGTAATAGGGTTTGAAAAAGATGACAATCCCATGTCAATCGCTTAATCATTCTGTTAGGTTAAGTTATAGATTATTTGTAAGTACATTTTTCCTATTTTGTTTTATTTATATATCAGAGGCACGAACTAGGTTTTTTAACTATAGGCGTCTTAAGATATTTCATAAGTTCATTTTGTGCCAGTAATCTAAATTAATGATATGTATATGCTTAATATAAATTTTCAAGTATGCATAGGCATCTATCACGATTGGGATTTGGTAGCAGTTTTTGCCCAAATTTGGTTTATTTTCCTTTTTGAAGTGTCTGGAAGGATTTGAAAGCGATTAACTACCTATTTGTCTTAATAAGAATTATCTGGTTGCTAAGTGAGTCATTTCAATTCCCTTTGAATGGTGTGATAACACAAAAAAATATTTGTCTTTGTGTTTCAATTTGATGAGTAATTTAGTAAACTATCACTAAAATATATTCATTTGCTACCTTAATAGCAGCAGCTCTCAAGTTTTACTTGCGTGGCTTACCTAAATATGAGATAAGAACGTGCAGTAGTAAAGGTTTCACACATTTCTACTTTTAATGTTGAAAGTTTGATAAAATCTGTCTACGCAGACTTTCCATGTCTCATTGTGCATGCATTTCATGGCTTCAATCGTAATTTAGTCTATCAACTTCGAACTATAAGAATTATTTTTGTGACTGGCTTATTTACTTATCTGAAGCTGCTATTCTAGTTATGGTCATATAATTGTATTATATCATCATTCCGGAGTGATTGTACGAAAAGGTGCTCTATTTTATGGAGACGGCGGCTTTCAACGCATTCTCTATCTGAAAGAGTTATCCAATAATATACCTAAGTACCTGACACATATTCCATTTTATAGGCCAAAACAAAATTATGGAATTTAAACAATTATTTCATTTTAATATTAGGCCATGAGCAAATTTTGTTTGTGCAAAAAATAATAATAATGGTGCTGCACCGGCATAAATCAATGCATTATAACATTTGTATTAGTTGTCGAATTTCCGGTTTTAATGGCACAGCTGCTTGACATTATTAAAAAATTAATTCGCAATTAACCACTACACACCAAAACAAACAGAAACAAAAGAAATTAATCGAAATTAACCAAAACTAACTCAAATACGTACCTCCAGACAGTGTCTATAAAAAAATCAAGGAGAAATAAAATACAGATTTGGAAAAAACAGGCAATTAACCAATATTAATTAGACCGACAATAGATTGTTTTAGAATTGCGTTTTTTTTTTGAGTTGCAAAATCGACTCAAACTTGACGCTGCTTTTTTCAAAGTTTCTCAAGCCCCATTTGAGCCACAGAATTCGTTTCGGCATCGTTGGATAGATCATTGAAAATTCGATTCAGTCGTAACAACGTTAGTGAGGAAATTTGAGTAGTTTTGAGCCAGAAAGCGAAATTTCAATACCATGTACTTAGGTGCAAGATTGTGCCAAAATTTCATGTTGTCCGTCCCGTTTTTGCTCATTTGTCGGAAGCAAAATGTTTATTTCAACTAGACACAGATTAGGGTCTTTGTGCAATTTGAAAAAATACGACCTCAATCTGATTTATATTATCCTGTGCTGCGTAACTTTTCTACTTTTATAACGTTGAATGTTTTTCTTTAAATAACCCCTTAATATTTTAATAAAAAGTCAATGCCAGAATAGCCACGTCTTATTTTATTGTATAACCAATTGTTCAAATAGTTCATTTAACCGCACAGGCTCAAGTGCAAGCCTGTTTGGAAATAATTAATCTAACGCAAACGGATTGGGTCGAGGTTAATCAGGTATTCATGCACGGAATTACATTCCAGATGTAATATGCGACACTAGGGACATCCTATGTTCTGCACTTAGATGAAATGTTGTTGCTACCCAGTTGGTGTTAATTGGGGTCGTGTAAATTGTATGCAGCCAAGAGGGCTCTACAAAATGTTGAATAATTTATTTTACTTTCAGAGGAAACTTTGATTAATACCTGCCGAATTAAACGCACAGGGTGATTAAAAATTGGCGTCACTCCTTTTAAGGGGTTATAGAGGGAAATTTTCTAGAACATACTAATAGTTGAAAATCGAATTGCAACTTTGTTCCTAAGTATTATTTTGAAATGGTTCCATGTTTGATTGGTAGCGCATTAGACTTCTTAAGCATTCGAAAAGAAAAATTACGATCTTTAGTCTCCCAGGATTTTTTAATTATTCTTCACAATTGACGAGGTTCAAAAACTATGCTGGCTATATTTTTAATGACATTTTTGAACTGTCTTTCCGAAACATACTCTTTCGACTGTATCAACACACAGTTATAGTTAATTATTTATAAATTTGTCATTTTCTAATCTTATTTTCTGCTTAAAAATGTAGACGTTTCCTATTCAAGAATTCACAAAGCAACCACTCCATTTTTAGGAGTTGGCGCAGTGCTGCGCAAATGGCTTGGTGCGCCAACCCAACTCACCGGCGCAGTAACTCAGTTTCGTTGCTGGGAAAACCGTTTGTTACCTTTTTTTGTTGTTTTTAGATTTATTTTAAGAGCTATTTATTAATAACATTTTGAAAGTTTCTTCAAAATTTCCCATTTTAGTTTCCAATTTTAGTTACTCTTTCTTCTAAACGCTCAATTTTCTCGTTTTACTTAAAAATGACTGACAATCTGAAGGTATTTTCCGCCAAAAATTATGAAATAAATTTTGTTAGAACACTCGGCGCCTTCGTCGATATGTAAAAACTTTTGAAAGCCCTTTTCAGCTTTGAATTTGGGACGAAAATGAAATAATTTATAAACGTAATAAAAAAAGAACAGAATAAGCTAAAGTTTATAATAAATTATTTGGAAAACTCGTCACCTCCATTCCTCTGAAGACTGTAGAGTTTCACTTAAAAATACTGACGATCTGGAGGTATTTTACGCGAAAAAGTACAAGATAAACTTACAGCTTTGTAGGAATTTTACAAAAGCTTTTTTCACGTCGAATTCGGGTCAAAAACGAAAATAGATTTCTCCCATTTTTTTCCGAAAGTCATTAAGGTTTTCTCAAAAACCGATCACAAAACTAAAAGTTTTCAATAAAAAGTGCAAAAGACATTATTTTCTGATAATTTTCTTCTTTTCTGAGCTTAATGGGGTCTTTTCAGCCTAAAATGATCAAATTAATTTTGTTAGAAAAGTCGCCTCATTCATCGCTTTGCAGGAAACTTTAGAAAACCCTTTTAAGCTTCAAATTTGGCACAAAAACCAATTTTACCAGTTTTATTCAGTTTTTTACCGAAAGTAATTAAGATTATCTTGAAAAACCACTAGAGCAAAAGTTTGCCAAAAATTATTTGTAAACTTCGCCACCATGATCGCTCTAAAGATTGTTAAAGTTGCTTTAAAAATTCATAAATTTAAAATTATAATATACATTTTATTGGAACATACTCCTCCTTAACCGCTATGCAAAAATTGTTGGAAAACCTTTTGCGGCTTTGAATTTTGGACAAAACCCCAACCATTTTTTCTGGTTTTTTTTTGGAAAAATGTTTCCCTCACTTTTAGGGCAATATTTCTAAACAAAATTCTCACTAAACAGAAAAACTTTTACTCTAATACTGGCAATCTAAGTCTTTTATGCAAACAAATTAATAGATGTCTTTAATAAATGATTTATAACTCATTAACCGATGAGTTATGACTCGTTAACTCAGAGAGTGGCAACAACTCAATAGCGCACCTCAACACAGTGTTACCCAGACCTAACCCCATCTTGTGTATGAGTTACTGTTATGTACTCTAATATCTAATAAATGCATATATTTTTTCAGATGCTGTTTCTACGGTTAATCTGACAAACAAGTTTTACACTTTCCAGGGTAAGTTTTTGTACTTTTAAGCAAAGTTAACCGGGAGTCTAAGAATTCCAGGAATATTAGGTAATTACAGAAGTAATGAGGTGTCAACTCTGGGTAATTCAATTAATTATAATAAAAATTGATTGAATGCCTCAAATATTGGAGCAAAAAACTTAATGATGGAATGAATAATGCCTGTTTGGAAGTAAAATTCTCTTAAAACTCAAAACAAGTTTTTGAATAAGAAAGCTAATTTTGTATTTACAAAAAATGATTAAGCATTTCCAGCAAATATTGTAAAAGTTGTAAAGCAGATTTGTAAGGGAGTCGGACAATAAAATAGCACCTGTATCGCAAGACGGAAAACAGATCGTGATTCATGATCAAGTGTTCCTCCAATATAATAATTCATGAGCGTCTGGTCTGCTGCAAAAGTTATAACAGCGATAATATTTTTAGATAGATGGATATTATAATTTTAGGGACATCCTGTGTAACGGACCTGGTGTTTGCGAAAACTGTGAAGTGAACGGCAAAACCAGAATTAAAAAAAAAGATAAAGCCTGACAGCTAAATTATTTAAGTTATATAAATACATCAGTTTGGAGCGAAAGAATATGTTAGCTTTTCTCCGAGTTTTTATAAAATACCCTACAAATCGGAATTTTTTTAAACTGCGTCCATTTCTAAACTATTTATCAGCTGTAAGAATTTGGTGATGGCGGGAGCGCAAGCACTCCTGTTTGTCTATTTTGTTCTTTTGCTTTATTTGTTGTCGTCAATCTGGGTTATTTGTTGGGTTGAGTTTATTGTGTTGGTCTTGTAATTTGATTATAGCCGTAGATATTTTTCCGCAAATGGATTTGCTCTGTAGCTGTGTGGGAATTTTCGTTCCTGTTCAAATATGAAATAATATTTTGCGAAACTCTGAAAGCTTCTTCTCAACAGCTAGTTACATATTTATTGAAGCTAATTTCGGCAAATTTTTCCCTTGCCAACCTAGTTTTTAAATTATGTATTTTAATATTTTTATTGCGTGAAGGTAATATCAATACCTACCTATCAATTATCAAAGGAAATACCAAAAACTCAAAATGTTATCTATTATTATCTTCGTCAAGATGAAAAATGTCCTTACACTGCCTGCTCTTATTCTAGAACAGTTCATTCGGGAGGAAGGCAGGCGTCTTCCAGGCGCCGCGGATGGTAATATATATTAACCATATAGACAAATAGTTCGTCTGGCATCTTTACCACATATGTATAGCCACAAGTTGGGCAATTTTGCTTAATAKTTCAGAAACGTCTTGATATACAGGGTGTCCCGTAAGCCCATGATCAAAAGTACTGGTACTGCGATATTCTTTGGATCAAAAGAWTWCGATCTGACCTAACTTTTATTCAGAAAAAAATGTCTGGCTCCTCTGCTACTGAKASCGAAAGTTCTTCAAGAAAACTTRTGTTTTTTGAAATATCGGGAGAATGATACCATAMATTTTATTGAAACTCGCTGTGAACGTTTTCCTATGCAAGACCCATGTTTTGATGAAGCAACCGAGTTCATCCGCTTTGAGCTTTGAGTGACGAATTTTTTGGTGTGKTGGTACAAACCCTACCAGAACTTTTTATTTGGTAGCCGGAATCAWTYGACTTCCGGAATATTCGAAAATGTGTAGAGTGTTTAGAAAARAACTATTTMTATCACTGTTTAAAGAAAMTCCACTTTTTTAAGAAGCTAAGCCAAGATCTAGACTAAAAATTCAAAATTATTTTGCAAATACCGCATTAAAAAAATATTAAATGTTTTGAGCAAMAAAAAATATGAAAATAAATAAGTAYAGAAAARCTGTGRTATTTGAAAGTATTTAGTATATTCGGTATTGGTAGATAATTCGTGAATGATCTTTGAAATAGCYAAATTTTKTGTAAAATCTAAAGTTTTTTSTTTTCCGCATACGTCTAAGATGTTAACGTTTATGCACCCCGTATGTGTCTAACAAATGCAATGTATGTATGACTTAAATCACCATTAGCTATCTTTTACAAAAACACCTGAAAGGCGAACAAATGTCAAACTTGGAAAACTTGTACTTAATTGTGAATATGTATGAAATGGGCAAGAAATTAAATCTTCCTTTGGGAAACTAAAATATTTGCATTCGTTTAACAGTTATATAAAGAAACATTCTTTCGTTAATTAAACGCTGTTTTTTAGGAGTGAACGAAATTTAATGGATCTGCAAAGTAATTCGTTTTCCTTAAATAATTAAATTTACAGTCTCGAGTCCCCACGAGGATTGAATATCAATGAAACGGGACTTTTTTAGATTGAGTTTCTATTAATAACGTCCTTCACTTGGAGGGTTTATTTGGAAGTTCAACATACTTGAAAGAAGTAAAATCTAAATTTCTTTAGCTTGATACATTTTACTTGATATATTTTACTTGCTACATTTTTTCGCTGGTCACAATAACTACAAAGTATTTTCATAAAAAAATTAGCTGGAGTAAAAAACACGTAGACATCCCACATTTACTGTGTAATAAAAGTGAAATACACAATATTGAAAACGATTCAATACTCTCGAGAAAATGACATTCTGAGACCGGAATGGAATTTTTGCACCGTATTTATATTACAACCGCAATAATATATTATATATTTCTATATAATATTGCCATCATTTCTGATCCGTGCTGAAATATGAAATAACTGACTGTAGAAGTTTAATAAAATAAAATATTGCGATCGAAAATAATCTATTTACTAAAAACTAAGGCCTAATTTTTCCATTTTTAATTTAACAATCCGGAAATAAATATATTTTTTAAGCCTCAATAACTTTGACATTGCCTGACTGACTCGTCCACCGTAAGTTTATCTTCCGGCGCCGAGGAAAAATGTGTTACCATGTCAAAACTCTTTAATATGTAGTATCTACTGACCACTTTTTGTTGAGTTGCTACCAAAACAACTCATTTGTTAGCAACAATTATTTGATTTTAATGCAGGATTAATCCATATGGTATTTCACAATCAATGAATTTAACACATCTTGCATACTTATTGCAGACTCATTATATTTTCTTGGCCAATTGGAAATTTTGGACCCATATTTTGGTTGAGAGTGATCAAGAATAGTTCTCAAATGCTGATTGAAAAAATATTGATTATATTATATTATAGCTCTTGGTGTTATGGACAAGATCTTGTCTGTGTATTGCAACCACTATAAGATTGCTCCTTTTTAAATTATTTGGGAGAAAGAAGCGAATCCACAATTTCTTTCTTTATTTCGTTGTTCTGAGAGTTAATTACGAATCCGCGAAAAATTGCTCATCATCTTTTCTGATGACTTATTTCAAGAGATTATCTAAAAATGCCCCAAACAATTTTCTAGGGGTTATAATACTCCCCTTCCGCAAGCACTTTTTTACGGCTGATGACGTCTTGGCTCCAAGCAGCAAACCGCGATTCACCCTCTGTTCTCTATTGGTTGTGGTGCAAAATGCGGGGTTGTCGAAGTTTACGGTTTTGTATCTTGCTAAACAGTATGTGTAACTGACGGATAACTAAGTACGAGTTAATACTAGTAATGTGTTGTACTTTACCACTTATTTTACCAAGCGTATATATTATTATTAATAGTTGATATAATAGAGTTCGCCGAACATACCTGTATGCTCTATTTGATTAAATTGCAGAAATCTCCGTTATTTTGCCGCTTCAAGTAGATTCTGTCACGTAGTTTTGTAATGTTACCTATTGGAAAAATATACTAAAAGGTAAAAAGCTAATCGAGTTTGCCAGTCTAATTAATATACGATCAAAATTAAAATGAAGGTAAAAATTTTGTATACTTAAACCTTTACAATAACACAACAACAGTACCAACCACATCAGACAATAAAAATCAAAATTTCGTTTATGCTTACTTTTGAAACATGCATTGTACTGCCGTTTTTCAGTACCTAGATACGGTATTTCGTGTTTGTCTCAAATAGCAGATACCTTAATTATTCAATATTATTTTCAGAAACATTCGAATATAATGCTAATTTCGGCTGTCCTTAACAAAAAGCAAACCTTGAGATTGATCTCAAATCATCTCTTCATTACTAAAAGTAATGTGGACCATTTTTTGGAACGATCATAAGGATCCTTTTTTGTGAAAATTACGCATAATATAATATAATGTTCCGTTGTATCTATTTTTTAATTGTAATACATGTTGTACAACATGGACCAGTTCATTACATGTGTTACATGAGAAGTGCAGCAAGCAGTGCAAGTCCTGCAAATTACTGTTTTGGGAAATTGTCATATTTAATTTGAATGAACCGTTTTACTAGCAACCTTAAGACTTAGTTTTGTTATTAAATAAATAACTAATTGTCCTACATTTTTTTGCTTTCGAATCTCATTTTTGATTCAATGTGTGTTTGTGTGCGGAGGAACAGTTACACCTTCGAGGAAGAAAAATTAATTTTCTGCATCTATTGCCCGAATTTCTAGACTTGTTAAGTTTATTCATAAAACCTTGATTGTATTATATTATATATAAAACACAGATTACGTGAGTGGTAATTAATGTAACACGAGAATATCAGTTTGGTATACAGATTTTGGTTAAATATTATACGAGCTCTTATAAAGACATTTGTGTATTGAATTATTATATTATACAAATTCTATTTTTGCCATGTTCTTTTAATCTCTATCACCTTTAAGATAATAATCAGAAAAACAAAGCTGATCAAAATGTGACAAATATAAAGGAAATGTGCGTCATAACATGTACAATTATGCTAAAAATTACTTGAGATTTGTATTTTGACATAGTTTAGCACGAACTAAGTACTTAATTAATGTAATAGTATTATTTCTTGAAATGTGTATTGCTAAATAATACATCGCAGAAAAGTCGAGTTTAAAATTAGTAGTTTGGTCGCTCTATAGCAAAAGTTTGTTCAATAGAAGATCTTATTAACACGAGGGAAGAAAACATACTTTGTTTTTT